GAAATGAGGGGATTGCATGGATATGATGATGAAGCTGGTCGTCAAGGGGGTGTGTCCCCATACCAAACCAGATTATACAAAATGTTATGCGTTCCTTTTTGGAAATCAACCAATGAGAGGCGAGAATACAAATAATATTTGTATTTATTTTTAATCCTAATACATTTTTTACATTCTGCATACTGCAATTTGTTTTGTTGTAATTGTTTTAAAAATAATTTAAACATATTTCTGTGGTTGTTTCACTTTTTTCCAAGCTGCATGAATTGTTTTATGTTTCAACATCAGAAAAATCGCGTTCCGAAACATTCCATGAATATTACACGACCCTGAAGTCACATGACCCGGAAATGGAGAAAATGATTTGTAACTGGGGAAGCTAGGCCTTGCTGAAATACCCCTGTAAATATTGTTCCCGTGTAGCTACTTTGAAAACGAAAAGGTGTTTGGATGACTCACTATTTGTTCTTTCAATACATATATTGCATAAAATATAAATTGAACAGATTTGCAAAATATCAACGAAACACCCTGACGTGACCAGGAATTGGCGACTTCACTGTATTTTAACTTCAAATTTTCACAGTTCAAAATTTGTACAAAAGCGTTGACAGAGGTGTAGTGAGCGTAGCGGAAGACAACTCTGGTTAGAGAATTGTAAATTAGATTTTTTTAGGAATTAGATTGCGTAGTGCACCTTTCTTCACGGTGTTTAAAGTTTTTTCACAAAGTCTTTATTCCAATATATATTTAATTATAATTAGTAATTAAAGACACAATATGAAATACGATTTTCCAAAATCTCCATGCTCTGGGACTATTTTACTTTGATCACGTGATCTGTTTTACAAGGTCAGATTGAGATTGCCTTTTGTCAATATCGGTCACTACTGTCATTGCTTCTGCGATTGCATCTACTCAGCGCTTTCACTGCACTCTTCAAGACATCTTGCACAGAAGAAGATTTCTTCTGGATGAGGTTAGTTTATCGAAGTTGGTATATTCATCGATTTATCACTCTATATGGCCTTATTGTGGAAAAAATTTCGTGGTGAATACTCGAACATTTTTGACGCCATTTTTGTCCTGCAGCAAAACTAAGAGAGGTATTTGGCAGGTACATGCATTTTGAAATATTTGTTCGCATGTTTTTACTTGTGTATTAGGTACCGTTTGTCAAAAATTTATTAGTTTTAGGTGAAGCTACTAGATCTAAGTATTAATGTAAATATTAACTTAATATATGGCTGATTTGATGAAAAAATTGAGGACTTCCGGTGATGAGTGCGCATGTACATTGAGATATTCATGCTCGCAAATATACATTCATTGACTGGGTTCGAGGACAACATGTAGATTTTGTCAGACCCAAGAACCAAACTGTTTGCAGGAGATGCCATAGGTAGTTAGGCCAAAGGCACACAGTTTGGTTTGAAACTCATTTTGCCTGAGAACAAGATCAATAGAAGTTTTGTTATACCTTTTATTTTAATATTTTTTGACATACATGCATCTTGTACTGTCTTCCATGATGTAAACCCCAGAACTGTCCCTTTTAAACATCGCAATGAATGCATGCAAATGAAATTAAGTTCTGCCTGCCTATTGTACTGTGACATAAGCCTTCTAACATCTCAATGATATATATATAGGTATAACATCTCACTCAGCGGTCAACATAATTTTTTTAATTGCTGCTCAGTAAAAACATTATTATTATTTAAAACTTTATTGTATAGATTTGTAAGGAACAAATTAATTTTTAAAGGTATAACAGACAAAACTCATGACTTGATCAATCCCATATTTACGACGTCAGTAAATTCCTGGTATTTCATACATGTATTTTCAGGGGGTACATTGGGGGTCCTCATTAATTATAACAAATTAAATGTCAAACTTGGAATTTTTTGATAAATTTGCAAATGACATTGCTTTATATATCGCGAGGCCATCCATGTCAATATGAATAGTACTCACCCACTGATGTCAAACAAAAAGCCGAACAAGATTTACATTCATATTTGGCCTCCTTAGCTCCTGACCTATGAATTTGCCTAATTTACATTCCAGTAGAATTATCAAGAAATCAACATCATCTGATTAACTTTCAAAAAGTTTATTATCTCAGATTAAACAAATAGAAATGAAAATATTCAGATTTATTACATTTTTACAAGTGAAGTACTGTTACAGTAATTTATTCATTAAATATTTAAAATGATATCCTTTCACAGTGTGAAAGTATATCATAAGTGCGGTAAAATTGGCGATTTTCATTCCTACAACAGTGTTGTAAAGAAAAATCATCCTTGACTTGATATAAAGATAATAAATAAACAATATATTATTGAGGAATACATCTGAGAAATATGAAAATCCTAGTAATTATGGTCAAGATTAGTCTTTTTAGCTCACCTGAGCCGAAGGCTCAATTGAGCTTTTCTGATCAAAATAATTGTCCGTTCTCTATTGTTGTCGTCGTAGTCGTTAACTTGTCACATTTTCAACTCCTTCTCAAAAACCACTGGGCCAATTTCAGCCAAACTTGGAACAAAGTATCCTTAGGTAAAGGGGATTCAAGTTTGTTCAAATGAGGGGCCAAGCCCTAATTCAAGGGGAGATAATACAAAAATAGTGAAAATTTGAAGGTATGTTTAAAAAATCTTCTTCTCAAGAACCACTGTGCCAGGAAAAAGGAAACTTATAGGGAAGTATCCTCAGGTAGTGTAGATTCAAGTTTGTTCAAATCATATTCCAAGGGGGTAAGGTGGTGCTAAAATGGCCGATCAAACTTATATAGAAATAAATAGGAAAAAATCTTTAAAAATCTTCTTCTCAAGAACATCTGGACCAGGAAAGATGAAACTTATGTGGAATCATCCTTAGGTAGTGTAGATTCAAATTTGTTCAAATGATGACCCCCGGGGTTAGGGTGGGGCCAAAATGGCCGATCAAAGTTTTACGGTAGGAATATATAGGAAAAATCTTTTAAAAATCTTCTCCTCAAGAACCACTGGGCCAGGAAAGATGAAACTCAAGTGGAATCATCCTCATATAGTGTAGATTCAAATTTGTTCAAATCATGACCCCATTGGGGTAGGGTGGGGCCAAAATGGCCGATCAAAGTTTTACATAGGTGTACATAAAAAAAATCTTTAAAAATCTTCTGCTCAAGAACAACTGGGCCAGTAAAGATTAAACTCATGTGGAATTATCCTCAGGTAGTGTAAATTCAAGTTTGTTCAAATCATGACCCCTGGGGTTAGGGTGGGGCCAATATGGCCGATCAAAGTTTTACATAGGATTTATATATAGGGAAAATTTTAAACAAATCTTCTCAAGAACCATTGAGACAGGAAAGATGAAACTCATGTGAAATTATCTTCAGGTAATGTCAATTTAAGTTTGTTCAAATCATGACCCCTAGGGGTAGGGTGGGGCCAAAATGTCTGACCAGAGTTTTACATAGGAAAATATAGGGAAACCTTTTAAAATCTCATTTTAAGTACTTCAAAGCCATGATTTGTAATATTTATGGAATCATCCTCAGGTAGTGTAGATTCTAGCATGTTGAAATCATGATCCCCCGTGGGGTCAGAATAAATTCAAGCTCCCCCCCCCCCTCCCCCCAACCTCGGTAAACTTTTAGTTCTGATCTGATTTGTGCTTTTTCTTAGCCAATGTGCTCAGGTGAGCACTGTGGCCCCTGGACCTCTTGTTTAACATGAATCAAACTCTAAGGTCAAAGTCTAAATATGAAAGCCATAGCACCAAGTACATGTATTCAAAAGTTATGACTAAGGTTAAAATTCAAATTAAATTAAAGTTTTGGTAAAAGTGGTCAAACTCCAAGGTCAAGTTCTAGAGGCAGGGTTTTCATTAAGTGCCGGCGACTGGCGATTTTGCCGTCTACTTATACACTGGCACCGGTTATTTCACTTCCAAAAATCAGAAAAGAAAATATATGCTTCAGAGGAGATTTTGGTTATACCGTTTGTCTTGTTCTTGTAGTGAATAAAAAACATAAACACATAAAAATCATTGTTATTTGACTCTTTCTTTGTAAGATTACGACCCCCTGGAGAAATTTATTTCAGAAATCCTGGCAAGGAATGAGAGTTCAAATTTTCCAACTGCCTAATGTACTGAATTTTTTTCTACGTCTGAAAACTCCCACTCAAAGATGCTAGGTCCAGGCGGAAAATAAGAGGCTTAATTTGGAGTCCAATTTTCCTCCTCAACTCCGCCCAGCTGAGTTTGTCATTATCCAGGTGAAAATTTAGAGGCGGACTTCATCTCTGTTCCATCTACTTTCCAGGCGGATTCCGCCTAAATTGTTCATACCGGCTGGCATATTCTCAAAACTAGACTGATTCCTTAAATAATCGCTACACACTTCCACGCTTATGTTGTATTTATGATTTCTTCCCAGATAGCAAGCTTACGTTGGCCCAATGTTGGGCCAACGTTGTAAGTTACGTTGGTCCAATGTCGGAAAATGATGTTGGGCCAATGTAATTTTGCTCATCGGCGCAACGTTGCGCCGACATGTTGGCCCAATGTCATAGAACGATAATTTTGACGTTGGTCCAACGTTGGGCCACTGTTGTCAGTTATGTTGGCCCAATGTCGGAAAATTTATATTGGGCCAATATAATTTTGCTCATTGGCGCAACGTTGCACCGACATGTTGGCACTACGTTGGCCCAATATCATAAAAAATGTTTTCAAAGTATTCTCACTGATCGACATTCTTTGTAATAAAACAAACTATTTCTTTTTTTAAAATATGGCATTTGACTTAATGACATTGTGAGAGGTCATTGCAGTTACAAAGAACTTCCAGCTGCCCATGTACATTTACCGTACAAAGTTAATGAATAGACTAGAGTGACAAACACATGTATTAAGTACAAAATATCCACTACACAACTATATTAATAAAAACGATCCCATATAATCAACATGTTATATTTTCACCGAATATTCCGAAGATCCTAATTAAGTTAGATCCGAAATTTCTCAAGTATCTGCTTGAATCACTTCCTCACTGATATCCCATGAAATTCACAATAATAAACAAATAAAATATGGCGTTGTGAATTGTTAGAGGGTAGCCAAATAAATGGTCATGTCAGTCACGAACGGATTCACTTTAAGTAGGAAGGTTCAGAAAGTTCAATATTGATCATTTCCATAGACACTTCAAACTTTGCTGGCACAATTTCTGAAAGAAAAGATGATCATTAGGATGTATCATAATCAATATATATCGTATATATAAACAAAAATATACGACAAATAATAAAGTAAGGCTCTACAAGACTGTAAAGACAATTGGTTATTTCAACCTGACAGTTCAGTATAATGTAGAATAGAAATTCACTTTCTTGCAGTGTTTTTATTTAGGCAAAATTAGGCAAGGGGAATGGGGGCCGCCTAGTGGGGCCCAGGGGGGCGAAGCCCCCGGAAGCTCCTGGATTCTAGAGATTTTGTAGGGTAAAAATGAGGTCTACCAATTAGACATATTTACATTTTCTAGACGAAACTGTGATTTACGCTAACTTTAAACATTTTAGGGGGGGGCGCCGGGTGCGGCACTGCGCCCCCCTTAAATCCGCCACTATTTAGATTACTTGTTTAGATTACTTGTCAGAACCCATTGTTATGTATTTTTAGGATAAGGAAATTAAGAATATAAACCTCTTGTTTACTTTAGTGGATGCAATATTTTTTTTATAGTTTTATGCTAAAAGATACAAGTTAATAAAAACAATGTTAGATTATTTGTGTTACTTTAAAATAAAAAAAAAAATGAGCTGGTTCTCACCATTTTTACAAGCTGACAATGTGCCGGCGCTGTGGGAATCGTCTCGGGCACAGTCCACTGCATGCAACTATTAAATAATCAAAATAAGTGCTGAAAATGATCATGAACATGCATTTAAAAATATATACATGTATATGTATTATTACATTGTACAACATACTCTGTAAATGTTGAAGAGAGGAACACTAAAATTCCTGAATCGATCCCAAACGAGGAAATTCGGGTTGAAATCCATCTTTATGAGAGATGTTTAGAAGTGTTATATTATTATAACAAAATTGAAATAGCGCTTGCTCAAACGATTTCACTGCAAGGCGTTTTATGTGTAGTGTCCTGACGAAGGAACAGTAGCAAAAGCAATTATTCATTATAGGATTAAACGTTCTTTTTTCAGAATTTATCGATGTGTAAACTCTGCCTTTTTACTCACAAACTGAATAAAAGTGCGAAGCACTTTTATGTAAAGTTTGTGAGTAAAAAGACAGGGTTTACACATCGATAAATTCTGAAAAAGAACGTTTAATTCTTATAATTCCAATTAAGAATTTTTTTAATGATTAAAATTATTTCTCTTTGAGGCCGCCATACAATCCGTTATTTTGTACGGCGTAGGAATACTTTATGCCTTATACTTTATACTTTAAGAAACGTATACAAGATGAATATAGATAAAATCAAAACTTTATTTGTCAAAACAATAAATAATTAAACTTATAAAAACTCATTGAATGTTGTTTAAGTCAACAAATATCGTAAATACGCGTATTTTCCAAATAATTCGTCCTTGACCATGGTCATGTTGACGTCGTGACGAAAGTTGAAGACCGACGACGTCCTCGATTTGCTCTGATTCGTTCAAAAATTTAGGGAGAATATGGGATCTGTAGGATGTGATTATATTAATTTGATGCTAAAAAGGCAAGAGTCTGAGGAACGTTTCTTTTCCCTATCACATTACGATATGGAACGTCGAGAAAATGACAGCATGATTTAAGCGATTTCAAAAATTCACACTCGTGATCCGACAGTGACATAAACATAATATTCCCGTCTGTCAGTCCTGTTTATCTCCTTTTCAAAAATTCACACTCGTGATCCGACAGTGACATAAACATAATATTCCCGTCTGTCAGTCCTGTTTATCTCCTTTTCATTCATTAATTCATTTTTTATTATGTTTCTTGTAATCAGCTAAAGAAGTATCGGTTTTTATTGATTTTACAACAGTCAAGAAAGTAGTTCTTGTTGAAAAATTCATCGATGTGTAAACTTTTTCTTGAATTTGTTCTCGTCCAATCAAAACACAAGGAATCGATAAATAAAATTAAGACTGGAATTATTCAAGGACAAATGTTAAAATATTTTGTACATTGTCCTACCGCAGTACCGGGTCGTAAAATGTCTTCATCTTCTGTCAAAACAGAAATTCCATCCAAAGCTAGTCATGATTCTCCTTTTCGAGACACTCTCTTCCGAACTTTACTTCTATGCAAAATCGACATGGTTGCGTGTAACCCACCAAAAATTTAAATTTCGGCGCGGAGTGTTGTTTAAATTAATTGCTTATCGTGCCCGACTTCGATCCCGACGTAATTGTACTATTAGTCGACTAGATAGAATGTTCTATCGTTAAAATGATATTGTCCTACTGACCCGGTTTAACGATAGAATTCGTTCCGTGTATTCGTAATGTAGCAGAAAGAAACACGGGCGATAACTCGCATAGTGCATTTACTTGGAACAATCTAGAGAGTTCCGAATGTAAATATGGCCGGTAATTTGAATCGAGAGAAAAACGTTGAGAAAATTAATTGGATTTTTTCGTATTTATATGGATTATTTTTTGGGATAAAAGGCATAAGCAATCTCAAGAAGGTTTGTTTTGATTATTTTGGTAGTTGTTCCCAGTGCAAATCATTTTATATTCTTCAAAATCGTTTCGGAGCGGATCCGCTCCGATTTGCTACATTAGAAGTATATGGGACGTATTCTAACTGTGGTGAGGGCCTGTACCGAGACACAGTTAGATTATTCTAACTATTAGTCGACAGGTTATATTCCATAGTTTTGAAAATCTACGAAATGATTAAATAACAAGAAATGAATAAATAAACAAAGAAAGAAAAAATAAAATAAATAAATATTTTTTTAAACGTTTCAACATAAGTTTACATAACATTGGTTCAACAATGTCGGCCCAACATTAAAAGATGTCCATACTTCAACATTAAAAATAACAATGTTCAGGCACGTAGCAACGGGGGGGGGGGCTGGGCCTATAGTGAAATCAAGGTTGGCCTTGAAAAAAGTTGGCCACCACCACCCCATCCTTTTGCTTGTCAATTTTTTTAGGTAATTAAAAAAAAAACTCTGGTCCCCCCCCCCATTTTTGAGAACGATGCTACGTGCCTGATGTTGGCCCGACGTTGGAACAATGTCAGTGCACCAACTGTTGTAATTACAATGTCGGACCGATGTTGGTACAATGTCAATGTACCAACTGTTGTAATTACAATGTCGGACCGATGTTGGAACAATGTCAATACACCGACTGTTGTAATGACAATGTCGGACCGATGTTGGTCCAATATCGTTCTGCCAACCGCGATATGTAGCCGATCTACCAACCACATGCCAACATCGGCCCAACGTCAGCTTGCTATCTGGGTTAGGGGTTTCCTGAATTAGAGCGTCAATGTCTGCGCCAAAGTAGCTAAAATATGATGCCAGGGTGCTTCTTTAAATACATGTTCTACAGTATACATGTATATTATGAACTTGGACCTTCACTGCAGCAAAAAGATTTAAAATTGTGAAAAATATGACTGGAATTGTAATCTGACCTCAACATCAACCAGAAAAAAACCTGTATCGATGTTGTAGTGACTTGTGTTGTGTATACTGATCAAGTTTTCTTGTTGTTATTTAGATGGAGCTTCGACGATCTTCGAGGATTCGGCGTCGCCCTGCCTGGCACGCCGACTACGTGATGGACTTCCCAGTAAGTATTATAACACACAATCTACATTTCTTAGTTGATAAGAATAGTACAAGAAAAAAATCTGAGGTTCTTGTCTACATTTTTATCGTGCTATCATTTAATGATTATGATTCCATTTTTCTGTCTTTATTGACTTTCTGTTCATTATCTCCACAACAGTGACGCACTTTCAGTTCATTATCTCCACAACAGTTACATTGTACGCACATTTACCTCAAATTTGACATATGGATACGTCATAGGAATATGTATACACATGTACCCAGTCAAGTTTGAATTTGGTCATGATCCAATGAGTTTTGCCAGAGTTATTCCTCTTGAACTAAAAATATATGAGAAATTTCAGTTTCCACTATCTACAGTTTTAAAGGATTTATGTATAGGGTGGTATTTTACCAGAATATTCAGGTCAAATTGCTGTCTGTCGGTCGGTCCATTTAGTTTCCGTTCATTTTCTTCACAACCATTGCACATACTGAAATGAAATTTGGTATACAGGTATATCAGATAAATATCTAGGTCAAAATCTGTTGTGGATATGATCGCCCAATTTTTGACAGTGTTGTGCCCCTTGGACTTAGAAAAATTTTAACTATTTACAGTTTCCGTTCGTTTTCTTAGAGAGGTTGCACACATTGAAATGGAATTTAGTATACAGATTAGTCAGATGAATATCTAGGTCAAGTTCTGTTTTGGGTATGATCACACCATTTTTAGCTCCACTGGTCAGAGATCAGAGGAGCTTATGCGATGGTAAGGTGTCCGTCGTCCGTCTGTCTGTCTGTCCGTCTGTGCAAAAGACACACATTTGGTTATATATTGGGTACTGCTTATTGGATACAAAAAAAGTGTACACACGAGAGAGCATTATTTGGGTAGTTACTGTTCAAATCTTATTGGATATTAATCCTCATGTCCGTATTTTATTGGGTTTTTTCTTATTGTTTTTTATTCATTCCAAATTTATTATATATTTAATATTTGCTGGTAAATTCAGACAAGACTGAAAACCTTTGGTTTTGAACCCATATTTTTGTCAATTTCTGTGATATAGCTCTTCTATTGTAACACCTAACTAATTTGTTCTTAGCAATAAGGATATACACCTGTATATTTCAAAATATCTAATATTAAAATATATGAATACCTAAGTGCAAAAAAAAAACTGAATTGTGCAAACACAACTCAACACATCTCAGACTCTGTTCAACCTTTCTTGAATAACAAAAATAAGTATTTAAGGAGAAACCTTTTTGAGTCATGACCAATTAATAATAAGCAAATGCCCATTACATGTTGGGCAGAATGAAGGTATCCAACAGGCATTGGACAGGTGTCCAAAACCTGTTGGGTTGTATTTTGACGAAGGGATTAAAATACCCAAGAATAATTGAACATGTGTACATTGTCCAATTCTATTTGGGTTTCTTGAATCTCCTCATCAAAATACAACCCAACAGGTAATGGACACCTGTCCAACTCCTCTTGGATATCTACATACCACCCAACAGGTAATGGACACTTGTCCAATTCTTCTTGGGTTTCTTAAATTGTTTCATCAGAAAACCACCCAACAGGTAATGGACATCTGTCCAAATCCTTTTTGATATCTACATCCCACCCAACAGGAAATGGATACTTGTCCAATTCTTTTTTGGGTTTCTTAAATCTCCTCATCAAAATACAACCCAACAGGTAATGGACACCTGTCCAACTCCTCTTGGATATCTACATACCACCCAACAGGTAATGGACACTTGTCCAATTCTTCTTGGGTTTCTTGAATTGTTTCATCAGAATACCACCCAACAGGTAATGGACATCTGTCCAACTCCTCTTGGATATCTACATCCCACCCAACAAGCAATGGACACTTGTCTAATTCTTTGGTTTCTTTAATTGCATCATCAAAATACAACCCAACAGGTAATGGACACCTGTCCAACTCCTCTTGGATATCTACATCTCACCCAACAGGTAATGGACACTTGTCCAATTCTTCTTGGGTTTCTTGAATTGCTTCATCAGAATATCACCCAACAGGTAATGGACATCCGTCCAACTCCTCTTGGATATCTACATCCCACCCAACAAGCAATGGACACTTGTCTAATTCTTGGGTTTCTTGAGAATCTCCTCATAAGAATACTACCCAACAGGTAATGGACACCTGTCCAGCTCCTCTTGGATATCTTCATCCCTTCAATATTATATAAATTAAAAGGTATTGGACATTCTTCTTGGGTTACTAAATTTTTTTTTCATAAGAAAGAAAACCCAATAGGTATTGCACATTGGTTCAACTTCTCTTGGATATTACATCCCAACATTAGAATAAAACCCAGCAGGTAATGTTTACTTGTCCAATTCTTCTTGGGTTACTTATACACTTCATTAAAATTGTCAAATTTGTCTTGGATATTTATACTCTTGCTTTAGATTGCAAACCCAATAAGTATGACATTTACCTTCCCTAGATGAATTCAAATTTATCTGCATAAGCATACATAAGTCCAAAACATATTTAATACTTTAATTCTAACATTACACATCTCATTCAGTGTACACTTTACAAATGATAGGAAATATATAAGCATTTTGTGCCTAAACTATTTGGCTTTTAAAGAATTTTATAACCATGTTTGCAAAATTTAAATTTAAGTATTGGAACTTGGAGCAAGTCATTACAGGTAGAGCAAGATGCTGAAAACCATATTGATAAGTAGATCACACCCTTGATAAATATTTGCCTTCAGTTGCTAAGATTGTGTTGTATTATATGGAAAATTTCTATAATCCTGTTTATTACACATACATGTACAATGCATATTTTCCCTGTAATAATAAAATACTTCTGAGATGTAAAAGAATGGATTTAATAGTCACCGATGTTAAAAGATATTACATGTATCTCATTAATCTGGTTTGGAAATCACAAACTTAGTTTTGAAGCCAATTAAACAGTGTCGCACCAGAAAACTCAGTTACAAGTACAATGAATGAATTCGTTGTATCAAAACTTAAAAATAATTAATTGATGCACTATGTCCAAATCTTTTCGACAAATCGGGATAAAGATATTAAATAAAATCATCACTGTTATAAGTCTTAGAGCAAGAGAAAAGTCATTACATGCCCAAATTTTACATGTAAGGCTTTGATCCTATATTTCAATAAATGTCAAAATGGTTTTATTTTTGTTTCTATTCCATACTTTCTTCTTCAGGGTCTCTTACATGGCCTATACTGTATGATACCTCCATTGACCCTGCTCTTTTATATTGCCATATGTTTATCCAGTAGCAGTGATTATGCTCAGGCAATCTTTGAAATACTCCTCATTTCATGCATCTTCTTCAAATCTGCCTCTGTCCTTTTTATTCATTCTGCAATTAGATAAAGGCATTTCTTTGCCGTATAAAACATGTTTTTCTTGACTACAGTAAGATCACCCTTTATGTTGATCAAACCCAACCGAG